CGCTCTCAGAGTACATAAAAGATACATTCGTCAAGAATTATAAGGTACAACACTTAATGATAGCCATAGGGTACAAATAAGTAATCAAATCATATAAGGAAACAGTCAATATAAATCGTAAGGATACAAGCAACAAAGTTACAGTCATATAGTCATAAGTGGAAGGAGATGGGTGATGGGAACGATGAGATGATTAATAGTAGTGCAGACTTAGTGAATAGTTTGACAATGTTGAGGGAATTATTTGTTTAGCAGAGTGATGGGGTTTGGGGAAAAACTGTTCTTGTGTCTAGTTGTTCTGGTCTGCAGTGCTCTATAGCGTCGTTTTGAGGGTAGGAGTTGAAACAGTTTAGAAGACCTGAAAGACCAGATTAGGAACAGATTGGCATGAAAATCTATCTATGTGATTATAATGACTCAACAGCAAGGTGATGGCACATAGACAGTCAACCAACCAATCAACCAACCAACCAACCACTTTGGAGGGGTTTTGCAGCAATCATTTTTTAATATGCCTTTGTTTTACATCCGTGGCCTCTTTCATTTCATCATTCCACCAAGCATTCTTTTTCTTACTTCCACTAGCATAACTACTCACACTGAAATATAATTGTTTGCTCTCTGTTCCAAGAAGGCTTCTCACCCACATTTAATTCATTCTGGGAGATTAATCTTATCTTCTTCTTTTTTTTTTGCACTTTCTTTTGCTGCAAGTGTTCTATTTATATTTTAGTTTCCCCCCCACTTCTTTCCATCTCATCATCTTTGTATCTTTCATCAACGCTCTAAATATTTCATCTGAAGCAATTAAATCAATTGTGGTTTTGATTAATTCTTCTTCCATATATATATAGATGAATATGCCACATAATGAAAACAAACCCTTTTCTAAGCAATTGCCATTCTAATTCATTCTTGAATGTCTGACTGGTCCAATCACTTTGTTTTGTTTTATCATTATCCCAACCCTCTATTCATGACATCTGATACAATAGTGGCCCCTCCTTGGAGTACTTTCATTCAAACAATTACAGTGAGCCCCATGTCCTTACAACATGGCATCATTTTACCCATCCCATATCATTGTCCTTTGTGTGACTGTTTAGCAACTTTGGCTGAAGTCCACAAATGTAGAAGCCAAGCTGAAGATCTGACACAAAGTCCTTCCCTTCTCTCACAGTGCAGATGTTCAGTGCTGTATCTATTGACCATCTGGTGGGCAGCAAAATAAGAACTCAGGCTCTATCTTCCCCTTAAACAGTGAGGTGTACTATTAGAGCCGATAGTCTTGGCCATCTGCTGGGGAGGACTGGTGGAGAGAAGATGCTGGTGCACAATATTTTCCTCCTTGGGTGTTAGAAGGAGATCCCTCTCCTCCTCTTAGTGCAGTCTGTGAAATTGGAAATAGTAGTGCACACTCCAAGAGTGGCTCTCCTCCATCCATTTGGACTACTCCTTTGGAAACTCCCATTGAGTGGTACTCCTCACCACTGAAATAAATTTGGCTTGGAAGAGTCTATTGCCTGCTGCTTCAGTTTATCTGGCAGCCCCATGCTCAGTCCTGGTAATATGCAAAATTCAGCATCTGTATTTGATTATGCTATTGCACAAAAGGGGATTTCTAGCCCAAAGAAATTACGATCCAAAATCTAATAGATGAAGAGCAACATTAATACCATAATGGTGAGCTCTGTTTTCAAAAGTTTTTGTTTCATGACTACAAGCTGCACTAATCATCCATCATCTTGGCTATGCCTTAAGAGTATCTTTATTGTTATTATTGAAAAGTATATGCTTCTTTTCAGAACAGTTATAACAAAAAGTATTTCCGATGTGCTTCATAGGAAACATATTCTAGACAAACAACACACACATACACACAGTCTGTGGACATTATTGTCTGTTTCAGTCTGAAGTTTATAAGAGCTTCCCTTCTCTAGGCCCCTCCAAATATCTTAATCCACAAGATCTGTCATCCCTGTTCAACATACCACTTTGCTATTTGTGGATGCTAAACACTGTAATCCAACATCTCTGGGGAAGCACTGGTTTGGCCTACAATGTTTTAAATATAACATATTTGAGAGTAGCACTGATCTTACAACAAAAACAAGACAAAAAAATGTTTCCTTCATTCAATCTAAGGGTCTTTGGGGGCTGAAAAAAGGGCAATAAGAGGAGGAGGTCTACATATACTGTATAGCTCATGTCTGAATACCTATGATTGAGGTGAACTATGAGACAAGACGCCATGTTGAATCACTGAAAAGTGAAGGGTCAATGACCCTCAGAATTCAGATTCATTGTATCTTTTCTGCCTTCTCTTAAGCAGAGATGCCCTACTTGAACTTGGTCACTCTATTCTACAAGCCATTTAGCGCAGTGGTGAAATTCAATTTTTTTTACTACCGGTTCTGTGGGTGTGGCTTGGTGGGCATGGCAGGGGAAGGATACTGCAAAATCCCCATTCCCTCCCCACTCCTGGGGGAAGGATATTGTAAAATCTCCATGGGGCTAGCCAGAGGTGGTATTTGCCGGTTCTCCAAGCTACTCAAAATTTCTGCTACCGGTTCTTCAGAACCTACTGGATTTCACCTCTGACTTAGCATTAATATAACATTAGTCTAAGCCAATATATATCTATATATTGATATCTATCTATCTATCTATCTATCTATCTATCTATCTATCTATCTCAATATATAGGATGGTAGAGGACAGGAAAGCCTGGAGGAGCATTGTCCATGGGGTCGCGATACGTCGGACACGACTTTGCAACTAACAACAACAATATATATCTTATACATGTCTCTCAAGGAGATTGGTATGATGTATATATTGGATTTTTATTTGCTACAAGTGTTATTGGGAAAATATTTTAAATAGATTTTGTTGATATAAATGAAGATGATGTGAGAACAAGAAGATCAGAATTGTTATAACCAAGTTATCTCCTGAAGATTGTAGGTTAAAGTTGAGGTTGAGGTTGAATGCTCACTGGTCAAATTCCATCTCATTCGTAAGATTTTAAAATACATTTAAACAATATCATTTTCTGCTGGAAACTAATCTTTTTTTTCACAGAACATCTGCTGAAGGAAGACAACAGCTGTACGGTGTGGTGAGGCTGATGATGCTTAGGCGTCATCTGTCTACAACAGATTGAATGTTGCACATTTTTGGGAGAAGGGCCACTAATGACAGCAGTGGGTGGGGTGATGTTCTGATGACATCACGCAAATACGCCGGAACAGGGTTTAGGGAAGAATTAATGAAAAGAAGCTTTTCTCTTTTTTTAATTGCTTTCTTTTTATTTTGTACCTCCTATCCTATCACTCTGATGTCTTATTCATGTTGTTTTCCTCTCACAAGGCATGAAAAACATTGCCTATTTATAAATCCTCTGCTGAATGTCAGTACCACAAATTCTGGAAAGTTGAGAAAAGAGCTTAGCGACAGATATAGGCTGTCCACTCCTGATCTAGAAGCATCCACTCATGCTTTCAAGAATCTACTGGCCATAACTCTGTTGACCAAATTCTTCCTGTCTAGTTCAGTTTTTAATAGCTTTTAGAAGCTAACAACATGGGGGGCTAGAGGGATTTATCCCTGAGGTTGGTCTATAAAAGGGTTGCAGCCACTCAAAAGCTGTGCCCAGAAGTCTCGGCCATCTTTGTTTTGCAGAATTGTGGGACTATAAGCAAAGTCAATTCTGAGTCTAAATGTCTATGGAGATTCTCAGTCATCCAGGTCATGGTTGTCCCAAAGGTGCTTTTTTTCAAGAGGCAACTGGACTTTCTGGTTTTTCTTTGAAGGTGTTTCACTTCTCGTCCAAGAAGCTTCTTCAGCTCTGACTGGATGGTGGGGAATGGAAAGATTTATACTCCTTGCAGATAGCTGGTCATTTGCATTCTTTTAGTGGGTCTTAAGGCCACCTGGAAGTTTATCTGTGTCCTCAGGGTCACCTGAACAGCGCAAATGGATGCACTGTGGCGCCTTCATGGAACTGGCGAAAGGACCGTGTTGTAGATTGGAGACAGATGATGTGGTATCCTTCTCCCTCTATTGAGAGAGGGCTGTTCAATTTTGAGTCCATTCCTCGGAGAAAGGATTGGTACAAGTAAAAAATAAATAAAAATCCTTTCTATTGCCCGGCTAGGTTAAAGCAGATCCAGGCTTATCTCTGCCTCAAATGAAACTCTTCCACAAAGGGCTTAGGGCAGTGGTGAAATCCAATTTTTTTTTTACTACCGGTTCTGTGGGCATGGCTTGGTGGGCGCGGCAGGGGAAGGATACTGCAAATTCCCCATTCCCACACCACTCTGGGGCCAGCCAGAGGTGGTATTTGCCGGTTCTCCGAACTACTCAAAATTTCCGCCACCGGTTCTCCAGAACCTGTCAGAACCTGCTGGATTTCAAATCCCTGGTTTAAGGGAGGTTATTAGCTTTAAAACTAACTGAATTATTGGAATCCATTCCTCTCCACAAGCTGGAAGGGATCTCAGGACCAAAAAGGTGGCCCTACTACGCGAACGAGCAACGAGGTGTGGCGCAGCCCCCGATTCCGCCGGGAGTGATGAATTCCTTCCACAGGCGGCAGTTTGGGGCGGGACGGGGTTCTTCACTGGGGAAATGTAAATAAAAAGGGAAATCTCTTTTCTAGCCCGGGACTGGGGCAAAAAAAAAGGCGTCGTCGATCTTCCTCAGAGGCTCCAAAGTGTGAAATCGTCCCCTCCCCTCCAGCGCTTAGACAATGCCTGGGCGCGTGCCTCGGCTCCTTTTCCCCCCAGGCGCGCCTCCGCTCGCGGAGAAAGAAAACCCCTGCCCACCCGCTGCATATTCACCCCTATTTGCATGGCTGCCCCCACCTCCCGACGGCCATTTGTTAGGCCAAGCGGGGGGGGGAGGCGGCGGCGGCTGCCGTCTCTTTCACTCCGTGCGAGGCCGCCGAGCAGGAAAGCAACAGGGGGAGGAGGTGGGGAGGGGGAGGAGGAGTCTGGAGCCGCCTTCGAGTCGCGGACTCGGCTTCTCGCCCCTCCTTTCGCTACTGTTCGCTCGGCGCTTAGAAGCGGCTGGGCCTGCGGTTCCCGTGGCTGGCAAGGCGGCGATCGGCAATCCACTGCCCGGGGGTGTGTGGAGGAATCGCAGAGGGAGCCGCGAACCTTTGCAGCGCTGCGCCTCGCGTCGCCTCTCCTGGCCTGGGCTCTTCCTCGATGGCCGCGGGCTGCAGGGACGGCCCGGGGCAGGAAAAGTACCGGCTGGTGGTGGTGGGAGGCGGCGGAGTGGGCAAATCTGCGCTCACCATCCAGTTCATCCAGGTGAGAGGCCCGGAATGGGGCGGCGGCGGCGGTGTCAGTTTTCTCGTCTTCCTCAGAGCTCTGGTAAGGGTGGGGCGCAGCAGAACGGCCAAAGCGGCCGGAGCCCCTTCCTCTTCCTCCGTTCCTGGCCTCGCTGCTGGTGGGTAGGTGGGTGGGCGCCTCCTCGGGAGGTGCCCTCGCCCCGTAGGGAGAGCTCAGCGCGCGCGCTCCGGGGAGAGGCTTCGACGAGGCCTTGGAGGGTGGGACCCTTCTCTGCTTGGAAGCGGCGGGAGAAACCTGGAGCTTAACCTCGGGAGTCCTCTTGTCTGGGGGGGGGGCGGTGTCGGCTGGTTGTTGGGCTCCCGTCTTCCTCGGAGCTTCCTTTTGCTCTCTGGGCATCCGACCTTTTCTCTGTGGGCTTTTTGCGGGACCGACGGGAACTCCGGACTGGGTTGAGCTGAGCGCCTTGGAAGCCCATAGTTTTGCCTCGTCGTTGTTGTGCAGCGAGGTTTTCTGGGCGCAGCACCCGCCCGGGGCTGCCTTCGTTTCGCTCGCTTCCTTAGCCTTAAGGTCCGCGGGGCAGCTGGCGCTCGCTTGGAGTTGCAGGCTGGTTGCGACGAAAGCCGGGACTCTCCGATGCCTTTCAACAGGTTCCTTCCATCGCCCTCTGGAACCCAGCGGCGTCCAGCCGCCTTCGTTGTCTTTTTATCATACCGTTCCAGTTGCTTTTATCCCGCTTCGATCCCTTCCGACCCTCAGTTGGCATCATGGCTGACCAAACACCGTACAGATATTTCCACGGCGCTGCCCTGTGTTTAAACTCCATAAAGTTAAAGCTCTTTTCCGGTTAATTTCTTTTATCGGAAGCGCTGCGCGGAGGCTTTTCGTGAGTGCTGTCATCTGTTTAAGCTAATGCGCCGTCTTAACTTCTTTCCTTTTTGTTACAGCTGCCCTTCGTGGCAACTTTATTGTGGGGACGGGGACTGTAGCCCCTCACCCGCTTTCCCGATAAACTGTTGGGAAACTTTAATCTTGGGCCTTGGAGCAGATGAAAACTCTTAACAACTGAGCAGCCTGAATAGGAAACGCAAATCTGGCTGAAGACATTCTAAAGGGAAGGAGGCTCCAGTTTGCAACAGCTGTTAAGACTCTTATTTAGCAACCTTTTTGGATACCTCTTTCTTTACCCTGTGGTCAGTCTAAAGACTTGCTCTAGTCTAGGGGAAGCCAGAGACTTTATCCTGTTCTGGAGATGGAGGAGATATTTGACGAATAATTTATTTTTAAAAGTTTTGCATTGGCTTTAGATAGCGTATCATAAAACTGTTCGCTGCATTTTAAGATGATAAGCTTATACATTCTTTCCAAGGGATCCTCCCAACTGAACACACTGTTACTTGCCTTTAAACCTAAGCGTGCCCAGAATCGAGTTGTAACTGTATCTGGTGCCTCTTGTGTTCTGCCTCTCTACTGATGTCATTTTGGATGCCAGACTTAATAAAGCCGAAAATGAAAGCCCAAGCTGCATCATAAAAGTATCCATTTACATTTCAGTCCTGGTTTGAATTAAAGGGCTGTTTATGGCTATCCACACGTACTGTTGGCTTTGTTTATCTCGCTGAATGTTTGCTGTCTTCCATTGTTGTCATGTGGCAGCAAAGATCGCAATAGTTTGGCATCTCTGAAATGCTGGGATTAGAATTATTATAATCCTATTTTGTTAATCTTATCAGTGGATCTTTGCTGATGGATGGTGATAATTAGTTTATCCCTGCATGGCTGAAGCTTTAGTTCACATTCAGGCAGGCGGTGTATAGAGGGTGCTGTCTGGATGCTGACTATGGCTAGATAGTTTTAATGTGCAGAGGGATCCTCTTGATAATCTTTTGTAACACAGATTGATTGATGTGGCATTGTAATGCTGCAATGGTAGAAGCTTTTGTGAGCTTAGGATCTGGCCTGCTAAGCAGGCTTTCATCTCATGAGGCCCCAAAGGCAGAAATACGTAGAAGGGTAGTGGTGCTTCATTTGTCCTCAGCGGGAGTGGTTCTGTACAGAGATCAGTATGTAGCAATGGCAAGAGATTAGCAACAGATTTAAACCAGGGTGAGCCCCTGTATGTGTATTCCATACATGGTTGCCTCTAAGAGCTTTTGAAGCTCTTAGAGCTGAAAGATTGCTGTAGGTTTGAAGGCCAAAATAAACATTTTGCTGTGTTACGCACAGTCTTATATATGACACATAGTTATATGTTAATGCACATTTCCTCATCCAGTGATAAGAATGTAGATGCAGTCAGTCCCAAATTTGCAGGTATGTTCAGGTGCCATTTGCTCGCTATGACAACTATCCATCCTGTTCTTCTATTATTGCTCTTAGATGTTGCACCTTGATGGGAGCTGTAAACCCTTCAGGGCAATCTTTTTTTTTCTCTCTCTCTCTGCTGAGAACCTACCTGAAGAGCCTCATCCAGCTTGTCATCTTTTGTGCCAGCAGCCCAAACCACCTACCTTCTTCCATGCTCTCGGTTGCTAATCTACCATAGCAGGTTCTTCTGATTTTCTGGGGGAAAAATTTGGTTTCCTCCCATGGAAGTTTAAAAATACAGGAAACTATTATAGGAAAAAAGTGGCCACCCGAAGTCCTGGAATAAATAGGTTTCAATTAATGTTAGATAAAAGTGGAGGTGTACCATCTCTTCTGTCACCAAACTTGCTTGGGGATGGTGTATTTTTAGGATATACTATTAAGCCTGCAAATAGAAACAAGCTAGTTTATGGGGCTGGGTTCTGGAGAGAAACCACATATACATATACATATACATATACATATACATATACATATACATACACACACACACACACATTTGGTCATGAAAGACCTCAGTTGTGTTTGAAGCAGGATTCTGGAATCAAGTTGTATCATTTACTATCTGAGAAACGGATCACAAAGCTATTGTTTAGTCAAGTTTCTTTGGCTCAGCATCATTGAAATAAAATAAAATAACTAGGGAACTACATTCCTCCTTCTCTTCTCTTCTCTTCTCTTCTCTTCTCTTCTCTTCTCTTCTCTCCTCTCCTCTCCTCTCCTCTCCTCTCCTCTCCTCTCCCTCTCCCTCTCCCTCTCCCTCTCCCTCTCCCTCTCCCTCTCCCCTCCGCTCCTCTCCTCTCCCTCTCCTCTCCTCTCCCTTCCTCCCTTCTCCCCTCCCCTCCCCTCCTTTCCTCTCCTCCCCTCCCCTGTCCCCTCTCCTCCCCCCTCCTCATAGTTGTAAAGAAGGTATACCTTTGATGCAGTCTTATCTTTTGTTCCATTGAAATGTCTAACCTGCTATCAGCATTTACCAAGGTACATGTGACTTCAGATAGTTGTTAATAACTAAATAGGTTATGTTTGCCAAATTAATAATTGACTTTTAATCACCTAAGAAGATGGGAAGATGTGTTTTACTAAGTTAACTTTACCCAGTTAGGACTATGTTGAGCAATTTTCCTTCTGAATACAATTGTTTGTTCTTCTTCCATTATTACATCTGAATGATAAACAAAATTGTTCTTATTGGGCTTCAGTATATCTCTTGTCAGCTGTGCAGACTTTGCAAAAATTTCTTTTAGGCAAACATCACTGGTTTCAGATTTGCTTTGTCTTACTTTAGAAAGCTAATGCTGTTGACAACATTTGCTGTCTAGACTTGAGCTTAGTTTTCTTCATTGATTTTACCGTTGACATAATTTTAGCAACACATAATTGAAATGGAAAGAATCATCCATGTGCCCTATCTCTTGGCGTGCAGCAGATTGGTTGATGCTTTCACTAGCAAGCAAGTAGAGATAATGCAGCTCAGGCATTTGTATTGAAGAGCTTCAGCGTCAATTATATATTGAACCCCATGAGCAGATTTGAATCTGGATACTGTTCTGAAGATGTGTGGCACACTGCAGTTGTGCCCAATTTTGTAAAATCTGACTATAGTGTGGAGTGGCTCATGAAGCACAGTCTCCAGTAATGTCAATATGTAATAGACTGTGCAGCACTTTGTATATATAGAGAAAAAGGCACTTAGAATATAGAATAACAGAGTTTTGAAAGGGACCTTGGAGGTCTTCTAGTCCAACCCCCTGGTCAGGTCAGGAAACCCTATACTATTTCAGGCAAATGGTTCTCCAATTGCTTCTTAAAAACTTCTGGTGTTGGAGCATTGACAACTTCTGGAGGCAACTTGTTCCATTGATTAATTGTTCTAACTGTCAGGAAATTTCTTCTTAGTTCTAGGTTGCTTCTCTTCTTGATTAGTTTCAAGAAACTTTAGAAAGCCCAGAGATGCATACTATCTGCAACTTCTTAAACCAAAGATGGGTTTTCCAGAAATTGCAGGGCAGATATAGAGAGGAGTTGCATCATCATGGAGGAAGACAGAGATGGTTTAATGAGTTGCAGGCAGATGCCAGGTTGGGGCCCACATATTTTCTGTTTTGGTCTTGAATCTAAAGTCTGTCTGTCTTTTCATGTCAGAAGCACATACAAAGGTACTCACAGCCCTAATACATAACTAAAATAAAGGTTTTGAATACATTTATACAGTTCCTATGATATCTTGGTTAAACTTCTTTCTTGCTACATTTAATTTAATTGCTCAGTAGTGTTGATAAAAGGCAATCCAGGTCTTTTAGATGGAGACTAAATAAAATACTGTTACAAATCAGCAATGCTAGAGAATTGTAAAAAGAAAATATTTTTTTAAAGATATGGTAATATAGGCAAAGGCACTAAGAATGGCTTAGGATACAAGTAAAGCTTTTATCAGAAGTTATTTTATACAATGTAACATTAAATTCAAGAAGAATTAAAGAAATTCCTCAAGAATATTAATATTTCCTAGCAGATTAAGCTATTACAGCACCACTTGTCTATGTTAACAGTAAGAGAAATGGAAATAAAAATGAACTATGCAAAGCAAACAGAGTTTGAGTTTGCAAGTCAGCTAGAATATTGGTTGGCATATAAATTACGAGAAGAATAGGGAA